GACGCTATATCCATAGCATTTGAAACTAGGAGATGCTGTTTTTAATTTATATTACTCACGAGTAGCAGGATTTTAGTTGTCAATATGAAATTTGCTTAAATTGCATTTTCTGACTTCTTGGACATATAGCAGATATTTTTGTAACCAATATTGATATTCTCAAATGTTTTGCCCCATTCCGGACTGACGTTGCATTCATGATGCTTCCCTTCCGCAATGGGGGAAAACCAACTTACACTTAATCTAGTTCTCTTTTAGCTGGATAAAGTGCATTCCACTTGATTTGGTTTGGTCTGCCTACCTGAGGAATCTTCTATTAACTTGCACACTTTGCTTTCGCTGATTGTGCTTATCTTTGTCAACTTTATTGCAGTGTGCAGCATTTTTATGTAACTTCTGGACATTTTGTACTTATCGCGGATTCTTTGCTAACCAACTTACTTCATATGCTAATTTCGTGAAGAGTTATGTCTGCATAACCACATGCTTTGACAGATATACTTTATTTGCTTATGCTATTTCAATTGATTGGTTGTTGCTTGATATCTACCCTGTGGCTGCGCCTGTCTATTACCCACTACCTCGTCCATACTGACTCCAGGAGACAGTTGCTCGTTGCGGGAGGGGACGAGGTGCACGGTCCTTGTGGCCGTGCTATGCTCAAAGTGGGGTTCCATGCACTCAGTGTGAAGTGCACTACGGTCCAGCCACCGCATTCTGTGCGCTTGATTCCCCAAATACAGCGTGCTTGTGTTTACCAGTGAAAGAGTGTTGGCTGGCTCCGTTGATGAAACGTGGCTCCCATCCGCATACCTCCCGGTCTTATTCCCTCGGGTTTGCACTGGATATGGGGTATGTGGTTGGAGCTGTGGGTGGTGCAGCGCAAGCCACCCACACTCCCTCTGTAAGCGCAGGCGTCCTGTGGCTGGTCACAGTGGCAGGCGACTCCGAAATCGGATGCCGCCAACCAGTGAATGAGCGAGTTTGGCGAAAGCCATGTTGCTCTTGGCTAGTATGCTGTGATGTTCTAGACACTGCATCAGTGATGATTCCGTATCTTTCGAAATCACGCAAAGCAGCTTCACTGGGTGGTTGTTGGTAGCGTCAGTGCGGCTACTTCCATTATGAATAGGAGTGATGACCACTCGTTTTGGTAATGGTGGAATTTGAGTCACCTCTATACAGCACTGATAGAAAGTGGCCATTGGTTCTGCTAAATCACTATCGGCTGTCTGTGGAGCCTTTGGTCTAAAGTTCTGTACTTTAGGGAACAGTGGGTACGCAGGAGTACCTTCCTCAACACAGCTTCTGTAGCCATTGTGATATTGGATAAATCTGACAGTGGGGTAATAGGCAAGAGAAGAATATTTGAGCTTGTCGTTCCCTGGAACGGATGGGAATAATGAAACCGTAAGATTTCGGCTGTTTCCATTGCAGATCGTGTATAACCATGAGTAGTGACCAGTGCTGGGATTCCGCGTTGCACTTTACGAATTGTATCAATTGTTTCCAGCCGGTCGGTGGCCGGATGGTGTGCACGCCTGTGTTGCAATCAAAAGGTCACCGGTTGGAATCCGCGTAAGGGCGGGAGTCCTCGCTGCATATTCAGACCAGGTGCGACTGGTGGTGGTCACGCAGCAACGAAGCGCCATTACGGCGTACAGCTAACGATTTATTTATTTATTTATTATCATTAATTCCTGCCGGTGCGTCAGCCTGTTTCATTCCAAATGTCAAGCGGTGCCATCTATGTAGTCCACATTTCGGTATTCAGTCAGTTCTTGTGAGTTTGCCGTGCGATACCTCTCAGGGTCATGTATTTACTTGTTCTGTTCCCCAAACTTGACTTGGTTTTGCTTTGGTGACGGAAAGCTTTCTGTTCTAGTGCGTGCGCTACCAGTTCTATAAACGGAATTGTGAACGTTTCTCTAGATACTTCTGGTGGGTATTTAATTACAAATGTCCAGGATATATTGTTAAAATACGTGGATAACAATTTGTAGTGCAAACCAGTGTATACTACACCATCCTCCATTTCAGGATATTCCACATAGCATATGTAGCCAAACATTAGAGTAACCTGGTCACTGCGACCCAAGAGTTTGCTTGTAACTCTTCCATTGATGACACAAGATCGAGTACCGACAGCGTATTAGCAGTTCACAATTTGATGGGGGAAGTTTCAAGGTTGTACAGAGGGTAGGTGGAAATTAGCTTTTGCAAGCAGGACCTAAACTATGCGCCATCGGTTGCTAGAGTCCTTGCTATGCGACCATAACTGGCACCAAAGCGAATCAGAGGCGAGTATTACTTGGTGGTCAATGAATTCACGTTGAAAGTTAGCATTGTAATAAAGAATTGCACTATCACCCCTTCCAGTACTACCCTTCTGAAACAGCGACATGCCGGGTAAATTTGTCAGAGAATCCGGTATCTTAAGGTGTATTTAGGTCTCCGTAATCATGATGAGGTCCCGCGGTTGTGAAACCTGATATTCTCCAATTTTGACCAAATTAGTAAGAAGGCCTTTGGCGTTAGTGTACTAACAGAAGCGTGGTCAGGATGTTTGGAGTGCGTTACTGGATATCAACTCGGTGTTTGGTTTCAAGCCGATCGTTAGGTGGCCGGCCTTTAATCGCTTTTTGGTAGGTCCTTTGTTTACGAATAGTCGAGGAGTATGGCCTCACAGAGTGTTCCAGATCAGGATGTTCCCTTGTATTTCGTTCTGTCCTGTCGTGTGCCGTGAGTGCTGTTGCGTCGGTCTTTCCGCAACACCGTGAAGACGCTGCCTTTGGCCTTATCTCGGTTGGCAACCTGGCACGAAACTTCAACCAGTTATGTAACAGGACTTGTGTCATTCCACCGAAGTGTAGCACCACCTTAATTAATTCTGCACCACAATCCTTGTAATTAGGCGATACAGGAATTATCATCAACGGTTTAACGATAACATTGGCTAGATTGAGTGCTTCGCGGATGTAGCATCACTGCTCGCGTTCATGTGTTTGTGCTTCGTGATCTTGGGAATCCGGAAGCTTTGAAACATCATGAACAAATATGATATTCTTGCTATCGCTTTTGGGATGACCGCCTTGATTATCGCCTTCTTTTGGACGACCTTTCCAAGGAAGATTGGGTAGTAAGCGTACCCCGTTCGAGGAGTTACGAAGACGACTTGCTGAGAGTAGAACAGCCTCTGTCACATATGCTGGGATTACTGTTACTCGATGAATTCGTGGTTCATCGTGGTGCATTGAGGTCGGGTGACGCGCTACTCTGTGGTTCTGTCTAGCGACTATAGCTTTGAAGTTGCTGCTTTTGAGTTGAATTGTTTAGGGGGTGCCTCTGAAGTTGACGATGAAAGCTGTGTCACACCGCTTGTTCTGTGTACAGAAGACTGACCTACAGCTGACGCTCCCTGCATTTTTATCGAGACGATCGCTTCGCACGTTACCTGGATTTTCACTGTACACGGTTGCATGCAGCTGTGACCTGCCAGTGTCATAACTGAATCCTTAGGTGTAGCTTCCATGAATGGGATAAAAGCAGTCGCATAGGTTGTGACCTGATTAGGGGTTAGGATGTGTCAGAGTAACTGGCGCAGATACTGTGGGGGGGGGGTTAGCAAGACTGACTTTGCTCTTTGACCTACGGACGGGGCTCAGAGCGGGTTGCTAGGGAACATGATCTATTTTGTGTAACTCCAACAGCTACACAGTGAAGGTCACCATCTGCTGAATTGTTTAGTCAATTTTTCACACCTCTTGAACGGAAGTATATCATTAACAGCTGGAGTAAGACTGCACACTCGGCAAAGCCGAGCATCCCACTATTGTGCCTTCCTGCTTCTACTTGACTTACGCCAGCACACTTGGGGTTGAATGCAATGGCATACGTAGGGCGGGGAAACCTGTTCTGATCACCAGGACGCATTTTGATTCTCCACCTTTACCGCTAAGTGGGATTATCTTCATTGACGATTGTTGTTGCAAGTGAAAACTTCACTTGTCTGGTGACGTGAGGTCGAGGATGCTTGATCCTCGGGTTTGTTGCCACACTCGCGCGCTTTCCACGGGAATGACGGACACACACAAACAGGGTGGCTGTTCTACTGTTGGACACTAATTCGTTTGGGACTGGGCTATTTAACGCGCGTTGTAGTGCGTAGAAGTCGGCAAAGGAGGGTCAGCGATGGGCGAATGTAATCTAAATCCGTAAACATCACATTGCGTTAACCGATGGGAAGGTAAGCGTGGTTGTCCTCTGTCCTCCGTGGGGTGATTAAAATTCAATAGGCATCCCTGTGTGGCACCAACGTGTCTGCTGCCACATTACGTGACTGTGTCCGTTTACACCACCTTGAGTGCAGCGGCTGCTTTACTCCGCGGAGAGAGTTACTTGAGATGGATTCACTGTGGCCTATATTAGGAGGTAATATTCCCGGTTCCCACAGTGTATACTATGGGTCAGCGTAAGAGTTGGTTGAATAGGCTTTCGTAGAAGATGGAAGTCACGATTAAACTCCACACGGAAATCTGCCTCGACGGGGAATCGAACCCCGGTCCACGAATTTCCGGTCCGCTGCTCTACCACTGAGCTACCGAGGGCTGACGATTAGGTGCGCAAATTGTAATACATGACTTCTGCTTGGTGCGCGACGTATTGCCAATGAGCTCACAGTAACTGTCCTGGTGTTGCAGATCGGCTCACTCACTCATCACTTCCCAGTGGATCGAAGTAACTGTCCATCCGAAGTCCAAAGGGCGATGGTAGATTATTTGAAGGATGTTTGTGAGTGTGAAAAGGCTTTGTTTGCGAGGCTACGCGCGACTGAGTCTTTTGGCGAGCACTATCAAGGCCGTTTTTTCAACAAGCATTTCATCTACGCAATTAGGCAGTCAGTTACATACTAACTTGCGGGCACTGAGCGCTGCTTCTTACTGCTTCATGCGACCAAAAAGTCCTCCACACTCTATGTAACCTTGCTTCCTCCTCTTCAGATTGAAATTCTACAAATAGGATTGGACCAGTGCAGTGCGCCGCTGGAACAGCGGATGGCGTTTATCGACAGGAATAGAGATCTCTACCTGATGTCGGTGCGTGTTTTCGGGGCCGCTAGAAAGGTGGTAAAGTTGAGTAAGTTTTCCTATTCTATACTTTATCTAGTTCAGTATAAATAGTGAACAATAGGACTTTGATGCGGTCCAGTTTCTCATGCTAAACATTTAAGCCGCTTCGGTATGTAGTATACTTTCTTCTCATAAAGAAGGTGGGAAAAATGAGTAGGTTGTTATTTCCTGCGTTAGCATATTCTCGTCTGTGAACCGAACAGGAGTTGTCACTCAAGGATCAGTAACAAGAACAATGAATTAATGGAGATTAAGAAGCATTGCTTTTCAAACCCTGTTGAATGATCTGGTGTAGTTGTCGAAAACATCAAAAAAGAATGTAGTTATTACTATTGTCTTTAGTAGTGTGCCTCGCTCTGTCGAGAATAAACCATTTGTTTAATCATTTATGGCTGGTAAAAGCATTACTTATGGTGTTTGTAATGCTGTAACGGTTTCTAAGCGATATGCCTTGTAGTCGCGTGCAATGACGATGTGAATGTATTTTCCCCACGGATTACATCTTAGACCAATAGATGGGTAATAGGCTATTTCGGTGAAGATTTTGGGGGATGGTACACGAAGGCCATAGTGCAAGTGTCAGTACAGAATAGAGTAGGCTGAACCAGAGAGAATCAGGAGACAAGGATTCTGAATCCCTCAAAGATTCACTATCTAGGTTAAACCGGTAGCACAGATTTACTCCTCTTTATTTTTTTGCGTCTGTTGCTTCGGATGATCTGAATGTCCGGCCTCGAGACTTCAACGCCCGTCATCCCAGGGTGAAGACATATCACGGTAACATCGATGTTAGTACTGCCTTCAAAATCTGTCAGTCTTCTATTTCGCCTAGCTTATTGGAAATGCATTGAGAAGGGGTGCACAATCAGGCTAGTTTCTTAGTTTCTAGGGGCTCACAGATGGCTAGACAAGCAGATGTGGGGGAGTGCAGGCCGAAGTAAGGTCGAGCATTATTTGTTTTTTGAGGGGATGCCGACGCCTCGTCTGCAGCTTGAATTGGCTGTTGTGTCTCTTTCCTCCTTTTGACCTGCGTCAAGGTTGGGTGAACCAGCGGTCAATTGGGGATGCTGTGCAATCGTCGGTAGAACTGCTTTTTCAGACGATTTATGTCTGATCCTTCCGGGGAACCTGCAGTCTTTAAATGAAGTTCGGATGGGAGGATTTTTCGACGCTTCCGTTAACTTTCTAACACTTCCGTTGCTCTTTACTCCAACTGCACCAGGATTTTCGATATACTTGTGCCGCATCGGCTATAAGTAGGTGTTGTCTTTTGAGGGATAAGGTGACAACTTTATAGAAGGAAAGGGTTTTACGAATGAACCGCTGCCGTTCCGAGTCGGCATTTTCGTTTTCTTAATTATCATAGAAAACGAGCTCTTTCACGCCACGGATGAAGATTGTGATTGTGCGATTTTGTCTATTGTGTCCTTCTGAGGGTTTCCTTTTTGAATACCCCAAACTTCAAGTAGTACAGTTGCACTTCTCAAAACTTCCGTTGATGGCGGATTTCAAAGTTACTCTATTGTGTCGGGGTTCGCCATAGTGTGTCGGATGTGGGCGACGAATAACTGGTACACTATCTGTGGATGAGGCTTTGTGGTCCATCAAAATGTACAATGAGTTCCATTGGTTTAGGTTGTCAGACGACTCACCCCGCAATCAGATGGCGGTGAACCCTGGGACAATTGCGCATACAAACCTTTGGATGCTACTGTTAGACCATTTCATTTGTTAAGATGCTAGATACTTTGATTTTTAGTCTTGAGATGTTGCCGGTTGGTGATTCTTTACCATTAGCGTTAGTGATATTTATCACATACGAGACAGCAAGGGTTATCATCATCAACAGAAATGCAATGATCATTTAAGCTCTCACTTCACTGTCCTACGGAACAGGAGGATAATAGAGAACCGAGTTTAAAACCTTCACACTCTATGCAAGCATTCACGGTCAAGTCAGTTACTAATTATCAGCAACATACTGTCACAAACAGCAGGGTTTCATGCTAGGCTAAGACACTTCGGCGTGACAGCTCCCTTAATACTTTCATTTCCCTGTGTCATAATCAACCATTATACCGCAGATTACTCAGCACCATACACAGTTTAAACGGACAGTCCGACAAAGAGGCGAAGACATACACGCCATTGATGCGGATTGCAAACCACCTCCTTCAGCGTCTCGAGCCAAGCCCAAGGCAGCTGCACAGACTTTGGGCTGGAAAACAGGACGGACCGACAGTTCACAATGGCTTTACTTCCCGCTGCCAGGTCAACTTTTGCCCACCTTGAACTTTGTGTCACATGATGTTCTCCTTGGTAAGCAGAAAACAGACATAGGTGGTACGTGCCCAAACCAACGCAATTTATCCAATACGGTTGTTCTAAGGAATTAGTTTGATTACCAGTTTCTAGCATTCGTCTACGCACACTATGTCGCATGTCTACGCCATAGACATGAGTGCGCGTATTTGCTTGGGGCACATGAATCGCAGACCAGCTCTCAAGAACGTGACCTTGATGTGTCGTACAGAGTGGCCCCAAGTGTCAAAGACAGCTGCGAAAAGTGGCAACCAACACTTTGGTCTGCTGGGAAGGGCGTTCAAGAGATTTGACCTTTCAATCTTCTCAATGATGCACCATTCTTACGTGCGCGCTCAATTGAAAACGCCACCCAACTTTGGCAACCTTAGTTGAAGCGAGACGTAGAGGCGCTAGAGGCACCACAACTCAGAGGAACAAAGCAGGTGACGGGCCTACGCAATCACTCTTACCAGCGAAGCCTGATGTTGCTGATAGTTTTCAGCGGACGCTACCGAAGGTTGCGCTGCGATTGTAAGCGACAAATTCGCTTGGGGCTCGCGTGACATGTAAAAACTACTGGGTCCAACCAAGAAAAGAATCCGAGACGTTAGCTACGGTACTATTAAATAAAATGGAACTCAAGTGCAATGTGTACATACCTCAACAGTAGTCGTCCGGTCCTGAATCGGCCTGGTCTTCGCTAGTTGCACAATGAAACGGATTCGCCGTACTTGCTACCGTACAGAAAGGCCACACAGTGCAGATTCCGAGAGAGGAATACAAGCGTTCTTTGTATTGGGTCCAAAACCTTATCGTATTGGTTCGCTGTACGGCGCATAGGAAGATACAATGTGTCATTAAGTTCAAAGGGAACGAGATTAACCTGTCTCAGTGCGGATATGGGATGAAGGAATAGCAAGCGCCTGTGTGCCTTGGGGCTAGTAGCACGGAGTGGGAGTGCACAATCGTCACAGCCGGTTGGCATTGAAAGCAAATGCATGTCAAGTGTGAAGTTACAAAGAGCAAAACAAACAGGTGGAGCGATTATCCAAAGCGAAACCCAGATATCCATCTTGTGAATCGGCATGTTAATTTTTCCGCCTACACTCCGCCCCAAATCCAAAGTACTTTCCTCACATTGATCCTCGGTTGATTTCTGGTTAGCCCTAACCCTGTTCCATCCACTATAGAATACAGGACTTACAACGGTACGCCCGCGTCTCCCACTTCAGCCTGTTGAACTTACATTCAGAGTCTGCACAGGTGTACTAGTAAGAGCGATAATCCAAGATGGAATCGCACCATCAGAAACGTATGGCAATGTGGTGTGTCTGTCTATTACTAACCAGCTAGAGCAGGATGTGAAGGGGTAAATCGGTGACCACTTTTCCAAACTCCAGAGCCGCTAAGTAACATTCAGTGTTCAAAGCGCAGCTGTAACTACCGCTTCTCATTGTCCGTCGGTTCAGATTCTTGCCCATACTAACAATTTCAAAGGGTTCACTTGACCTGTTTACGCAGTCATAGCCACAGCAACACAAACAATCTGTGTACTGGTAACATTGCGAAGCAACTTGTTCAGTTCATAGTGAAATGCGTTTTGATAGCTTCAGACCTATAATCAGTGGGGGGTATAAGCAGCAATAACAAATGGACAGCATCCAGCGGTACCTCCTGCGCTAACAATGTCGTTGCTATCAGAAGGGGTGAACACAGTTGCCTCCTCACGGGAATCCAATCAGACACTAATGATAGTCTTGAAGCTGAGAATGATAATGACTCCAAGTTGCGACATGATTGGTGCATCAACATCTCCGGATGTGTTCAATCAATAGCGAGAGGACAAGCCGGGCGCAACTTGTTCAACAACCTCATGGGTGCAAATGATCTTAGTTTCGGACATGCAACACACGTCAATATCCAGTGTGTCCAACTGAAATGCGATTGCAACCTTTGACATGCCTCTCGGTCTTAGGATATGAACGTTAAATACCGTCAGAGAACAATGAACAATGATATATTACAGGTAAAAAAGCGATTGCTTTACAAGTCCCGTAGGATGGTGGAAGTGAAAGTAAACATAAGTGTAAATCGTCAATTTAAGCGTCTAGTGAATTCAAGTGCCCCTTATTCATAGAAACGTTGTAGAATGTGTGCTGAATTGTTACTGTAGAGTAATATGGAAAGTAATATGGGGAAGGCATGTCTTAAGAACAAGAGAAACGATCAACGCTTACTCGTGCGCCGCTTTCTTGGACTGAGGTAAATTGATGAATGCAGTTGTAATATATCCGAAACTATATTCCACAACAGCAGTGTGTAAATAGTGGAGCACAAAAGCTGAGAATGAGCACCGTTTTTTCGCGTTTGTTTGACGTGGACATCTCTGATTATATAGCGTAATGTAGGTGGATAAGCGAATCATCCAGACATCTTTTGAATACCGTTAGCGTGGGGGAAGAAACAATGTATGTGGGAAGAGCGTTCCAGTGTTCGCATACACGAAGGGAAAAGAAATTCCGGCGGCATTCCAACCGGCTGTATTGTGTGGCCAGCTTTAGATGGTGTCCTCTGAGTGTTGTATTGCTATTCAGCTTTAGTAGGTGACAACAACAATGGTTTGGATTCCTCAGGATCATATAAGTCACCATCAAGTCGCCACGCAGGCGTCGATATTGTCCACTGTAGACCCCGAGGGTTTTCAGCCGCAATCGTGGCCTTATATAGGGTTTTAGAAGACTTAAGTCCAAAGGGTGCTGCTGGAATGTAGCTGCAGATAGTAGAATTGCACTGGTACTGCAGTCGTCGATGCTTACGCATAACGTCATAAAACAAACATTGAAATGGGATAGGGATGGAAAAAATGAGGGAAGGAGGTGGCAAAGAGAAAAGCGAGGCACCGATGGTAACATGTTTTCGCTTATCCCACCTGCTGTATGCAGCACACAAGGAGACGTTTTTACAACTGCACTTTTTTGATGCAGGATGTAGCGCGAGATTGTTGACAATCGCACTTATTCATGGTTGTTCACGAGCAGGGATACTACCAAGGCGCCGAAACTTACAGAGGGGAACGATAAGGGTACTCAGCAGAGACCTTTGGCTCAAAAGCTTGATCTCAAGAAGGCGGAGATGTCGACGACCAGCTTTTGCAACACTGGACACCATCGAAATTCCAAAGTCTAAACAGGAGAATCAGGAGACTGGGTTCATAGCACATCCAACTTGATAGGAATAGTTAGCAAGGGGTCCGATGGTCCACCCAGTATAGCTCAATAGGCCGAAGAGGTGCGTGAACTGCCGCACTATCTTAAGGTACGATCTCGTTGAGACAAACTGTAGGGCTAGCATCCCGTGTGGTTTCCGCAGCAATCACTGCATGTGTTATTGGTGTCCAGGGTGATTTTGACTCAACCAACAACCTTTAAGCTGCAGTCGCCATATGTTGGGGCTTGATTGCTCCATTCCTGATCAGGGTTGAAATTGCTTAGCTTGGTGTGAGCTGATAGATCGCATGTTTCTGGTGGCAACTGGCGCTCGTGGTCACGAGTACCGCTTGATTATCGGAATCTTGTCTATTTTCGCCTGATGTTGCACCAAAGTTGGAAAGAGATAAGTGAGATGTGGACCTCACCGTTCATGCTTCTGATGAAGTAAATTGCACACTCTTCTTCTGTTTAGAAGCTAATACACTTTCTTGACTCATACCCGACTCCTTTTGGGCGTGGAATTGCCATGTGCTTTCCTGTATTGAATGGGACTAACGCGACGGGACTTCCTCTTAGCAGTGTCGTCGATGTGGATGTACAACACGACGTTAGGGTCCGTGAGAGTCCCTCCCGATACTGTTTTTCGTCATTCTGTTCGGATATTCTTCTAGTTCATCGCACCGGCTGAAAATGATGTGATCAGCATGATGAATCCAACGGACTGCAGAAGTGGACTCAATTCAAAGTCCCGGTGTCTGAACCTGTCACTTTCCAGAGATGGACGATGCTGGGCACGTGAAAAATACTACTGCGCCAGTCATAAGTAGTGTGACACAACTTGCAAATCGGAAATGACAGAGTCGACCGCTGCTAAAAAGGGAGGTGTAACACGGGAGGAACGGCGGAATCGTTTAGTGACGAAAGCTGTGAATAAATGGGGTAGCGTACGGTGTTCTGGGAGACATCATTGTGAGACAGCAAAAAAAGGAGGGAAACCATAAAAGCTAAATTGTACTGTACCCGGGGGTGGGCACTAGTTGTTGTGGTGCTGTTGAGGACGGAAGGCAAGATGTGCACGCAGCGAGTCCGAGTTCCCACCACACAAGACAGTAGTGTCCGCAGTGGTCACTAGCTTCTGGTTAGACTGTCTCGGAGTTCGCTGGGGACGCCTCATTGCTTGGGTGCGGAAGCTTTGGGTTCGGTACATAGTTCCCGGTAGGAATTGTGATGCGTACACATCGTCCGATCTGGCAAACTGTGCAAAGTTGACTAGAATAAAACAAACTTCCTCAACTAGGTTTTTGACTGCTAGATTAAGTCCGTCAGCCTGAGTCAAACCGTTCCTAGACTTGAGAATCTGAAGTCATTCATAAACACCAATCATTACCTCAGCTATGTGCTTGGCGTGGTTGATGATGGGAATTTGAATACAGTACAAAAATATTATGAATTTTTTTACACCTGTTGCATTGACTATGTCCATACATTCCCTAAGGATGAATATAAAGTAATTCAAACAGAGTGAGATAATGTCGTGATCAGTTAACTTCTGCGCTGTGAGACTAATAACACCAAGTGGACAACAATTTGCGGCTACTAAAGCATGACTCGATGATTTTACAAAGCCAGTTGTATCGTGACGACGCCTTTTTCGTACCCCACAGGCTCGATGACGACGTCGCTGGTTTGGGCGGAATCCTCCAACATGTTGGCGGCCATCACCAATGAAAACTTGACTATCTGGCTTCATCCAAGCGCTGCGTTTATAGACAAGCACCTCGCAGCGTTGACGACGCAGATGCATGAAACGCAGTGAGTTGCCGTAAGAATGTCATTGAATTGTACTTCCGATATAACGAGGCTGTAGGGAAAAGCAAATGCAAAAGAGTGCATTTTCTTTTGGCAGGTAGCCGAGCTGAGCGAAATAGGGGAATGTAGCCCAGTCATCGTTACTTATCCAATTAAATAACATTGAGACTAAACAGCAGTATAAATAAAAGCTAGTCAGGTTCACACGTATGTATGATAAAATGGCGGTTGGAGATGCGTTACTGAACTTGGGTTGAGTGATGCATCGCACGCAGTGTCTCACACACGCGTGACGAGTGTGAACGTTTTGGCGATACCTTTAAGCAAGCATTGATTAAAACAGAGGAAGAAGGGAACATCCAAGAAATCATCGAGGCATTTTTGCAAATTTAACGTATGATGCCAGGTCCAACAGTACCTCAAAACGTATCTTCATCCGAAGTGTTTCTCAGGAGGCGTGTGAGAACGGTCCTTGATGCTTTGAAGGCATCACTACACAAGGGAGAGCGCAGTGCTCAAATAAAGCTGGCTTTTAGTCGCCATCATGGAGCAAGCCCTCGGCATTTCGTGCCTGGTGATAGTGTGTAGGTAAAGAATTTTCGAGACGAAATATCCTTCTGAATTCTTGGTTGGGTCGTTGAACGGACTTCAAGTGTGTTGTACAGACAACAAGTGTATTCCGTCATATGGATTAGACGTGTAAACCATATTAGACCCCGTTTTGTAGTGCAAGGGACGTCCCAAAAACAGGAAGCTTCATTATCGTTGGGCAATTCTGCTGGATACATATCAAATAACCCCGTCAGAAGAGCCTGTAGTCCAAACAGAAAACGTAACAACAGATCGAAGATACTAAACGCGAGTCAGAGCCCCAGGGCAGAGACTCGAGATTAACCCGACGTAAAGCACACGATTCAAAGGTAGCGTGCTATTCAGGCTATATAGGCATGTCAATAAGCTTCGTAAAGTGAAGCATGGAATCCCCCCACTTTTCACGAGAGGCGGTAGAGTACAAAGCGCTGAAGAAGCAGCTAATGCCCTGCGCCTACAATACGCCCCAATTTTCGAACTCGCAACCTCTACCTGTCCCATAATGTCATGCACATTACCGACACCATTGTTTACCTATGTAATTTTCAACCCATCAATTGTGATAAGGAAGTTGCTCTCACTGCGTGAGCATAGTTCCCCGGGAGCAGACAACATCCACCCGAAGGCACTGAAGGCCGTGGCCAACAAGCTAGCTGAACCACTGTCACAGTTCTTCCAAAGGTGCTTTGATGAACAACAAGTCCCCAGTATGTGGAAGTGTGGCATTATAACCACTATTTTTAAAGGCGGTAGTGGTTCAGATCCTGCAAACTATCGTCCAGTGACTCTCCTCCCTGTGCTCGCGAAAGTGATGGAAGCGGTCGTCGCTGAGGCTTTAATGGACTACCTAGAAAAATGCAACATCTTGGTATCGGAACAGCATGGCTTCCGTCAACACCGGTCATGCGCCACCAACCTACTGATTGCACGAGGTAGTTGGACGGAAGTTGCTGATGATGGGCTCGGAGTCGACCTCATCTATCTGGACTTCTCCAAAGCTTTCGACCGCCTTGATCACCGCATCCTACTTCAGAGATCCTGTACTTGGTTGGATTGGAAGCTTCCTTCACCAACGGAAGCTTCAAGTACATGTTAGGGGAACAATCGCTAACCCAATTGAGGTGGAATGTGGTGTCCCATAAGGCTCAGTGCTGGGACCGCGTTTATTCCTGGTGTTTATCAACGACCTGGCATCAGTTATCTCCTCAAACTTCCTGCTTTTCGCCGGTAACGTCAAGATATGGCGGGCCATTAGTAACAAGCCAGATCAGGATCTGCTCCAACATGATCTACATTGCATTTATAAATGGTTAGAGAGGAACATGTTTCAATTGAACACAGCTAAGTGCAAGGTGATACATCTGCGTCACCAGCTGGTAAGTGCTTACAAGCTTGGAGACCACACCTTGGAGAAGATCTCTCAGGAGCGTGACCTGGGTGTATTGGTACAGGAAGATCTCGGGTGTTCGAAACATGTAGAGAAAGCGACGAGAACTGGCAATCAACATTCCGGCCTTCTTCGCAGAGCCTTCGGTCGGTTTGAACCCTCAATCTTTCCCCAAATGCTTAACGCCTACTTGCGACCGCACGTGGAATATGCTATTAAGGCGTGGCAGCCGTGGCAGAAACAGGATCTTGTTGCTCTCGAGACTCCTCAACGAAGGGCAACCAAGAACATCAGGGGCCTCTTTCATCTGCCCTATCAGCTTAGACTGAAATCTCTAAGAATATACAGCAGTCGATATCGGCTTTTGCGGGGGGATCTCATAATCTTTTACCAGATTCTGAAGAACCCAAACCACATTTGTCGTCCGCTGCTGGAATTGAACCACAAAACTAAACTAAGAGGTCACTCTCTGAAACTGACAATTCAGTATAGGCGGTTTGAATGCCGTAGAAACGTTTTCCCTCCGCGTGTGCCAGCCTTGGAACGCCCTCCCTAATTATGTCGTCTCTGCTCCAAACTTGGCGATATTTAAAAAAAGTGTTGACGATGCATTGTCTTTGTTACATTTCATTTTATGACTTGTTAGCCAGAGGCTACAAAACGCAATCAAACGGTGTCTTGCCAAACGCCTAACCAATGGATTTATGGATTTATACGTTTAATACACGAACATCTCCGCTATTCCACTTAAGTCTATGGTGAGGCCACCACAACGCTTTGCACTCTATCATGCAATTGCTTTTCGCAATAGTTTCCATCCCACGGGACTTGTTAAGCAATGCTTTTTTACCCGTAATAAACCATTGTTCCATAGTTTAAAGGAGGGGGGTGTTAGGAGGAATCGCGCTCAACAGTCGTTCACAGGTAGACGGTTTGACCTTCGTTTCTATGTCCTGTCACGTGAGTGTTAGACAAATTCACATAAGATGGTCGTTCGCAGTCAGACCGTTTACCATTCGTGCCTATGTTCATTCTTGTGGTTGGCTGATTGATCTTTGTGCATTGTGTTTGCTCCGGCATGTCAGTTTTCAATACATCCCGTGCCGACACGGTGTGTTCTTTCTTCTCGTTCGGAGTGGGTCGTGTTGCAGCCAGACGTTATAATGCCAAAGTAAATACCTTTGAGCCCCAGTGACCAAAATATATCTAGTCCATCCACTGGGAAGCAGCTCGGTGTTTCTCGTCTCAAAAGCCACCATATTCGACGCATTATCGAAACGAATCAGAGTCAGAAGATTATCATTTTAAGCATTCAGGTCGAAAATGCCTTCCGTTCACCGCTTTTTGATCTTCAAATTTCCAACTGCATGTGCCCTCCGTCAGTGGTATACTGTTCCACCGTTGCTTTTCCCGCATTCCTTCGACAGTAGTAGGTCCTGTTTGTGCGCTTGCTAAAATCCCTTCCCCGATGTTCTGAGTTAGGAAACAAACCTGTCGCTGAGCTTATCGTTAGTAAGTACGTCTCACTTTGTATCCACTTCTCTTGCATGGCCGTAAACAACAATTTCCACTCACTACATAGGTTGCCAGTGCTGTAGCTGTTTTTTCAATACTGTCGAAAGTTAAAATTTTGTTTTATCGCACCGCATCATCTTGTCATATCTGTCAAAATTGTCGGCCCACCTCGTAGCAGTCGCGTGACCGCATGCTTGAGTGAAAGTATAATTTTTTTTGTTTTTCTTATCAATTTGGGTTCTTCCACTGATCCCATGTTGTAACATATCCGCAGTGATAGTGTAAAATGCCAAAAGTGCACCTGTATTTGGGTGTATAGTTGATTTTCACTTGACGCATACAGTGTGGCAATTTATCAGCCTGACTTTCCACTTCTTCCCAGTTTAATGCAACAAGACTCCGGAAGTGAATGACTGCGCTCACCGTGAAAAACCTCTTTCCCTTTTGCATCGCCTGAGCCGACTCATACGAAACATATGGGGCATCTTTCCCACACGCCAGGTCCATAATTGTTGCATCGACCAGACCATGTTGTCCATACCTAGATTTCTCCTCGGCTACAGTCGCAGTGCATGAAACGCATGACATGCTGAGGCGCCCTGTCACAGCAAGGTCGACGTGCCGGACCACCTCCTCATCGATCACTGTGAAGGACCACCCATAGGCGAAGTATATGGCCTACAAGGTAGAAAAGAGTCAGAAGCACACCGACACTTGATCCCACCAATTTCCAGTAACAAACAACCATTTCAGTCCCGCCACAGTTGGTTTGACTCGTAGTTAACAGATTTGCTGCATTTAGCCTTCATCTTTCGATTGCAGAGTCAGCGTGTAAGGTTGACATAACCTAACGAATGCAACAACCAACCCAAACCCGGTGAGGCATCTCCAGCCACCAATTTTGCGTATAAACGTGCGAGTCTGACGAGATTTTGATTAGAACTGAATCCCTCTGCGCAACTCGCATTTTACTCTGAGTCGCAGTGACTTCGGTTGTAAGCGAAAGCGCACAGAGTAAGCTGCCGGTTCGGTTGCGATTGTGTTAGAATGGTAATGGAGTCTGAAGTTGTATGTCCGGCATTTGGTATAGGAAGCACAGTCGCTTGCATCCGCGTATGAGGCGCACATTTGGTCGATTACACCACCGATTCTCTATCCTATCCCATTTTCCAGAGAGGAGCTTGGCAAGCAAACGGAATTGGTCCGCTTCACCAGAGGCCGGTTAGCGATCCGAAGAGCCAATGGGAGCATGGTGTCATTCGGAGTGCCCCCCTATCCGGATGAGCTGCATCGGCTAATTGCCGCACACAAATGGACCGAAGCTTTGTGCCTCTGTCGCAGCGTGAACGTGAGTCCATCATTCCTCGGTATTCAGTTTAAGACGCGTGTCAATATCTTGGGGTTTTTCGTCAACGTGACTGAACACAATGGCGGACACTGGGCCCCAAACATCGCACATTACGACACCTTCAATTCAATGCAATGATGATGATACCATTTAGTGCCATCCTAGAAAAACGTCAGAAAAGTCTCCAAGACTAAGATGTATAGTGAAAATGAAGGATGAACTGCTGAATATCGTTTTAAAGGTTATCCAAGGCACTGATAACGCTTTTTATGTTATGCTGTCGCTTCACTGCAGGGTTTGGTATATGCAGTCGCGACTAGTTAGAAATTCCGCGTTAGGACAGTAGGGAATATAAACTGAGACGCCGGAGCAATGAAGAACTGGGTGTCATGCTGGCCAACCAGACAGGGCCCTCAGCAGGTTGGGCGGTAACCAAGTGTATCCCGTGGCATATATATATATATATATATATATATATATGTATATATATATATATGCCACTGAGCCACGAGGGATAGTTTCAGACCCAGTGGCATAAGCTGCTGACTGGCGGTTTAAGCCACTGGTGATCATGGGTTCGAATCCTGACGGATCCGATGGATGTGCACTACTGACGATGCCCAACAGGCTGAAACTGCAGTCTAGTGCTTTTCCGGTCATGTGGACGACTATCTGATTTGGAACCTAGCTGCGATGGACCTCACATAATCACATAAAAATCCCCTACTCATGAGTATATATATATGTATGTATATATATGTATATATATTATATATATATATTCAACACTTGTTGTTTGGTATACCTGGTATGGTTGCGCTTGATGTGTATGTTGACAAGGTGCCTACCTGTCTATTACCCACTACATCGTTCATACTGGCTCCAGGAGACAGTTGGTCGTTGCTGGAGGGGACGGGGTGCACGGTCCTTGTGGCCGTGCTAGGCTCAAAGAGCGGTTCCATGCACTCAGTGTGGAGTGGACTACGGTCCAGCCACCGCCTTGTGTGCGCTTGATTCCCCAAATACAGCGTACTTGTGTTTGCCTGTGAAGGAGTGTGGGCCGGCTCCGTTGATGAAACGTGGTTCCCATCCGCATGCCTCCCGGTCTTATTCCTTCGGGTTTACACTGGATATGGGGTATGTGGTTGGAGCTGTGGGTGGTGCAGCGCAAGCCATCCATGGTCCCTCTGTGGGCGCAGGCGTCCTGTGGCTTGCCACAGTGACAGGCAAATCCGAAACTGGATGCCGCCAACCATATGTTCAACACCTTACCAATAAACAGTTGGGAGTGCCGCAACACAAACGTACCAGCAAAACAAGGAGACAGTAGATGAGATAGTAGAGGGGGTACGAAGATTTATGTGTTGCGTGGGCATTGAGCTTCACGGCTGCCCAGGCTGAAGAAGAGGGCTGACCTAAGGGACTCCACCTCCAGGCTTTGATCGTAAAGACCTGACCCGCAAGGCAGCGGGGCAGAATATGCGCACCGTTGACAGCTAGGTGGCTCATTGGCCTTCTGTGTGTTCTGTAAAAGTCTACACAGAAGCCGGTGGCCAGCAAGATTGTTCATCCGCCCTCCGTTGGTGCACAAGGCCAAAACGCCGTCTGACCGATGTTGGCAGAATGGATTCGGTTCTAACTGCCTTGTTTAAACACAGAGTAAATGTCATATAACAACTTCCGTTTAAGAATGTCAAGAGCACAAGATTAAGCAAGACTTCAGCGGAATAATCTGAATTCAATATATTTCGCGTATTCTCACCAGTCGCTCACATACAAGGGGTGTAAATTCCAACGGTTGAGAATGACAGAGCAATACAAGAAATCGGTGGTTAATTGTGTTAGCCAAGTTGTCACGCCATATCAAGACTAAATGAGATTGGCCACGAACTCAAGCTGTTTGTATAGGTTCGGCTTCAAATGCTGGATGGCAGAACCCTCAGCAAAACGTAACAACATGGGATTGTTGTTTGTTGATGACGTTGCATGCGTCACAGGGATTTTGGCACATCGAGTAAATGTCGGACAACAGAGCTACTAGGTAATGTCGCACCATTGAGAGCTAGGTTCTGCGGAATGTATTCCGAAATTCGGGTAGACAACCTTCTCTCTGTCCGGCTAATGTGTATGATACTGCAAGTACACTTAAACTGGTGAATAGAGGGGAGGTTAGACGAATCCAATATGGATAGGCCTCACTCCATGTCACCGTCTCCTCTGTTCACCAGTTTCACTGAACTTGCGGTAACATGTACAGCGGTCAAAAACTGCCCTTTTCACACTTGCCATTCATCTCTTTTGCAGGACAAGATGTTGTGGGCTTGTCTGGCGATATTCGCTATGTGTGCAAAGGACTTGGATACTGCAGAAGTTGCTTTTGCCGAAATTAATGAGGTAAGAATATCAATGAGCATGCCTGGCATTACCAGGGGAAGTATTGTAAACGGTGGTGCAATTGCATCGGGAGTCTTCGTGGTCACGGTGGTACGCATTGTCACAAGCATCAAACTTGCTAAGCGCATTTGAGAGCAAGTGGAAAATACGTTCTTTCATCGTCACATTATCCTGACAAAATTTCTCTGTTTAATAGCTTTTGCTTGTGTCATCTGGTCAGCTACGGAACACATCCCTAGGGGAGTTCAATGTTTCAGGCGTAAAGTTGAATGTACCCGGTCGAAAAATTCGATTCAAAGACAGATTTCAACGAAAATCCAACCTACCAGTGGAATACCGGTTCAAAGACTGAAGTTCACTATCAAAACACAGCTCGTTCGAGTCCGTGAGTCTCACACTAGTAAGAATGGTTGATTGTCCTTGTGGCCGAGAACTTTTAAAAGTCACGGACATACGGTGTGAATCGTTGCTCACCATGGGTTTCAGCCGGCTTGTAGCACACGTTTAATGGTTGTTAAACCGTGCCGCTCCGGCAACATTCTCTTAAAGATAAGTAGTGTTTTCGTGACTAAGAGGCTTTTACCATTTTTTAAAGGCACGAAAAAGCGTTGTCTGGAACTGTTGCACCTTTTACAACTGAGTAACGCATGTATGATTTTCGTTGCTGATGTTTTGTTTTCGAGCCTCGATTAAACCAAAAGTTAGCACAAATAATACGCGGTAAAAAACAACTGCGTCTTATGACATCCACTTCCACGAGCACAAAACCATAATACCTATCGTGTCCCGTTACACGATCAAACGGAATCACAACGGCTTCACTCCATCGTTCTGGCTGTCAATACGCGTGGTTCAAATGTGTATAACAAGAGCAAACTATGAAATACTGTGGAAATGGTGCAAAAATCATCTTCAGAATGTTCCAAGGCAGTTGCGACAAAGTTGGGTCCATAATAAAATCGAAAACACTCATTGGAGGGGTCATTTTGAAGTGTGTGTTGAGTGACTTGGTTATGATGTGAAATCTGAAAGGCTGTTTAACAGAAGCCATCCGAGATTCCTAGAGAAAAATTCCTTAGTTAAAACAGTGTACCACACTTTACACACTGAAAACAATCCGCAACACCTGAAAGTTGTGGACAACAGTGTATAAATAAAGACGCAGTATGCCGAATGGATAAGTGTAACCAACACAAAAACATCGGATGCGCAATTCAGTAGATGGACATGCGTCATCGAGGTACTGAAAACAAACTAGAGTTCGGACAAATTTCGTAACGTCCATAGTACGTGGTCGCGGGACGAGTACACGAAGAGGATTTGAGATGGCCCTGTGTCGTGATCAACCTACATCATTATTATGCACAAAAGTAGTACACAATTTATTTCAATGGTCAATGGTATATTGCGGATAGAAAAAGCCGAAGCTTGACGTGTCCCGCCGGATGATCGGTTAGGAGTGGGCAAAATAAAGGCGAAATAGCAATAGGAAATAATGAACCACCGAAAATTGTGAACTTGATTACAGCGTTTCCGTCCGTTTTATATACTATCCAAGGTTTTCGTCTGTGGTTTCCAGTTAAATGGAGGTGGGTAGGTTTGTTTTTCTGCTGTTTGTATGGGTCCTTTGGGTTAGGTGATATGGTGTAGTATGACCAGTGCACTATCGACACTTGCTCTGAATACAGCTAACGTGTGGGATGAAACAACAGCTTTTGAGAGGGTATTCCACGTGTGGCAAACATGCAGCGAGAAGAAGTTTCTTCGACACTCTAACCGACTGTATTGTTCTGCCAACTTGAGATGAAGACCTCTCAGTTGGCTGTTGTGACTCAGCTTCAACAGGTAATGACAGAGGTGATTAGTGTTGTTTAATATTTGGTAAGCCATGATTAGGTCACCATGTAAACGCGATAAAGTCCTCTGAAAATTCCAAGCACTCTGAGGCGCTGTTCGTATGACGCGGCGCAGCCCCTTGACACTTTTGGTCGCCCGACGTTGTGGAAGCTCCAAGGACGTGAGATCCCACTTTAGCCCTGGGTGCCATGCTTGAAGTTTGTATTTAACATGTGGGCGTATATAAGCGGGAAGTATTTGGCGGAAAATCGACGGTTCGAATTGCCCGAAAGCTCTCCGTAAAAGTTCTACGATTTGGATTCCCTTCTTCGATGCCTTTGCGGACTGCTAGGAGCAGCAGAGATCTTCTTGGACAAACATAAGGAGATGCTTTTCGAGAGAACAATGTTGTAGATCCTGGTCCCCTACTGTCCGGGAGAAAGTAAGAATTGCCTTGGAAATTCCCTATTTTAGCGATTAATCGATTATTAACGATTATCGCATCGATTTCGAACGTTCCTGAGTGTTCTTCTTCTACACGTGAGCAAAATCCATCTGACCTCTCGGAAAAAGATATGGGGAACCACTAACCTTGGCAGCTGACCTTCCAATTATAGAAGTCGAAGGTCAGTGGAGACCTAGAAATACAGCCAAGGTCCGCAGTTGTTGTACAGTGTTCGTTGGCTGCGATTAATACGTTCTTTTGTCAGGGTCATTGGCGTTTTGCTTTTTTCCTTCGGTTGGGCTAGACGTTTTGCAGAGCAGGGAATTGTTATTTTTGGAGTTGCGTCTAGTGAGAAGATTATAACAAATGGCGACGGAGAAAAGTGAAAATGTGATGAATTTTTCTGCTGAACAATTTCATAAGCTGCTTTTTCAACAGCAAGCTCAAATGGAGGCGCAAATGAAAATGATTGAAAATCTGACAAAATGCTTGAGTTTGCAGACAACTGGAGCAGCGACGCGGGACACGCAGGCGAGTTCTGTTGATCTTCTCACGAACGCCATCACTGAATTCCATTATGATGCGGATTCTGGAAGCACTTTCGAAGCGTGGTTCAAACGCTGGGAAGACATGTTCCAGACGGACTTCATTCGTCTGGACGACTCCTGGAAAATGCGATTGCTACTCCACAAGCTCGGAATAAGTGAACATTCAAGGTTCATTGACTACATTTTGCCCAAACAGCCGAAGGATCTGACCTTTGACGAAGCAGTGTCGCAGTTGAAGGAAATTGTTGGTGAGTCGGTATCTTTGTTTAGTATTTGCTATCAATGCCTGAAAATAGTCAAACAGGAATCTGACGACTTTGGGGCCGTTGCAGACATGATTAACCGTGAGTGTGAACGATTCAAAGTACGCTCTTTAACGGACGATCAGTTTAAGTGTCTCATTTTCGTCAGTGCTCTACAATCGCCCAGTGATGCTGAGATCCGAACGCGGCTTTTAGCTAAGCTGGAGCATGATCCTGATCTGACACTGAAGGCTCTCGTAAACGAAGGCAAGCGGCTTCTCACTCTACAACACGACACTGCCATGGTCGAACGCAATGGTCTCGCACCATCAGATACCGTGCAACTCGTGAAAAATACCAGGACCGCCAACGCAAGCAAATCCTTCAAGAGGCATACGAAGAAACCGCCCACGGCATGCTGGTCATGCCGCGAATGGCATTTCGCTCGCTTTTGTCCCTTCAAACATCATATTTGTCAAACGTGTCATAAGCGTGGGCATAAAGAGGAATGCTGCAGTCAAGTCCGGTCGAAGAAAGTGCAGAAGTCTTATCGAAAGGTTAATTCTAGAAGGGACGGCGCCGAGTCTCTGTCCGTAGTTGCCTCATTCCAAAGCGCATGTAAACCGAGACGACGATTCATCACTGTGTTAATCAATGGGATCCCAACGAAACTGCAATTTGACACGGCCTCAGACATCACAATCATTTCCAGGCGCACATGGAATCACATAAAGAGGCCGAAGATGGTCGACTCCCAGAAAGTTGCACATAATGCATCCGGCGGTGTGTTAAACTTAGTAGGCGAACTCAATTGCAAGATTGCTTTCCAAGGTGTGGAGAAGTCGGGAACATGCTACATTTCAGACCGGCCAAATTTGAATCTTCTTGGCCTCGACTGGATTGAAAAGTTGAACCTCCTCGATGTTCCCTTGAATCAGATCTGCAACCGAGTTCGAGCAAGTCCAGACCCATCTGCAAAGTCCGTCGAAGACATGACACGTACCCTGAAGCGCAAATTTGCCTCTGTCTTTCAGGATGGCTTGGACCATTGTACAAAATTCAAGGCAACACTGAACTTGCGACCAGGTGCTAAACCAGTGTTCAAGGCCAAAAGACCGGTACCATATGCAGCCATGTCAACCGTTGAGCAAGAGCTCGATCGACTGGAACGTGCCGGAGTCATCACAGCAGTCAACTACTCATCATGGGCCGCACCTATTGTCGCAGTGAAGAAAGCAAATAGCAAGGTACGCGTCTGCGCTGACTTTTCAACTGGCCTCAACGCCGCGCTGGATGACCACCAGTACCCCTTACCTGTACCGGAGGATATCTTCGCAAAGTTGAATGCTGGTAAGCACTTTGCTAAGCTTGATCTATCCGACGCTTATCTGCAAGTGGATGTTGACCAAGTCTCGAGGGAGTTGTTGACAATCAACACTCATCGTGGGCTATTCCAATACAACCGCTTGCCATTTGGTGTGAAAACGGCGCCAGCCATCTTTCAACAGTTAATGGACACCATGCTAGCGGGAGTTTCTGGAACCGCTGCATATCTGGACGATATCATAGTGATGGGTCGAACACCGGAAGAACTCTTCAACCGCTTGGATGAAGTGCTTGGTTGCATACAGTCGTACGGTTTCCGGATCCGTGAGGATAAATGCACATTTTTCACGTCGCTCATCAAATACCTCGGTTTTATCCTCGATAAGGATGAACGTCGACCAGACCCCGAAAATATAGAAGCCATTAGAAAAATGCCTCCACCCACAGATCTACAGTCTCTGCGTTCCTTTTGTGGGCTCATCAGCCACTACAGCGCATTTTTGCCTGAGGTGCACCGCTTGCGTGCCCCGTTAAACAAGCTACTAGCCAAAGGACAACCTTGGAACTGGACAGCAGAATGCCTTCGAACGCGTCAAGTCACTG